TCAAACTAACATTATCTTAACCCAGACCAGCCATACCTCCTCCATTTCTAACCTTGGTGATGTTCCAAATTCAAGCAAATCTGTTGCATTTTTAAATTTTATCCATTTAACATTCTACACTCAAACAGATAATATTTTCTGGGATTTCTCTACCATAAAGACTGTCCTTTGATTCCTTCCATTTCCCATTATCTGTGTTCAATTCATTCCCCAAATTTCCTTTCAAGGTTCCTAAACAGTCTATTTGCTTCCTTGACTTTCATTTTGAGGTCTTCCAATCAATCATTATTCTTTATAAATTGCTATCTGAATGAACTCTCTAAAAAAGAATTGTGATATCTCTGCTTTAAGTCCTTCAGCAACTTTTAACTGTGTTCAATATGTTTCAACTTCTTAGCATATATTAGATGAACCTTCAGTAAAATGACACCTAATTATCTCTGTGCCTTTATCTATGATCCATTTAGATACTTCTCCTCATTACACCAGTTAAATTTAAGTATTTTAAATGAGTTTTTGGTTCATCTTACATTCAGTTCACCCACTTAGCATGCTTACTTCAACTGTGCTTCTCATAAATAGGTCACACTCAATATTTAGATCTGACTTCAAATGTCTCTACTGTTACTCACTTTCCTTTATTGTCTTCATAATGGAGAAATACAGGCAGGTGTGGGGAAATCCTAAGTTTAGTGTGAGATGTGTTTTTTTTTTTTTTTTTTAAATTTTTTTTTTCAACGTTTATTTATTTTTGGGACAGAGAGAGACAGAGCATGAACGGGGGAGGGGCAGAGAGAGAGGGAGACACAGAATCAGAAACAGGCTCCAGGCTCTGAGCCATCAGCCCAGAGCCCGACGCGGGGCTCGAACTCACGGACCGCGAGATCGTGACCTGGCTGAAGTCGGACGCTTAACCGACTGCGCCACCCAGGCGCCCCTAGTGTGAGATGTGTTTAATTACCTCTTCCTAAAAGCTATTTTCCCAAATAGCCACATGCCTTGATTTCTGACATCATGCTGGTGTCTGCCCAAAGTGATATTCCATAGTAAGTCTTTTCTGACCACCGTATTGAAAACTCAATTTTGTCAAAGCTATTTCCCTTATTTACTTTCCTACTGTATTTTTCTCAAAAAGCAGTTATCATGATGACTCATACTCTAAGTTTTATATTTTTACTTGTCAAATACCTTCCCCAACTACTGCATGAGCTCCTTGAGTGCAAAGAAATCTGTTGCTTTTGTCTATTTCTATGTTGGCTTGGAACAGTTACTGAGACACAGTAGGCACTGGATATTTCAAAGAAAAAATATTGTAGGTTATATACTTAATGATATCACCTTTAAGTAATGATGATAATTTTGTTTTATCACCTTGTCATTCACACAGCCCCATTTTGATTCCTTTATTAGTGCTGACAAGGTTCCCTCATACTGTTTGTTTATATTTCCATCAGGAAATCTTCACTTCCTCAAAAATACGGATAGGCTTTTGTTTCACATCTTCTACTAGTGGTGTTCAATCCATATTTTTGAATCCACAAATGATAGATCTGCATTCCTCTCTCATTCATTAGGTCACATTTTGAAGTAGCCAATGCTACTGTTTCAAGCCATATGTCTCAACACTGCATCTCTTATAGTACATGTGTTAACCAGCATGTACTTTTTAGGCTATCAACTTCTTCAGGATTCCTCTAGCTGTTAGCCTCAACCCTCACATATTTATCTGCTTGATATTCTCATGAGTTTACAATATCAAACTGTCCAATCATTAATATAATCAGAGAGTATCTTCTGCACATTCAAAGATTTTTTTCCTTCTAAGAAACTCTGTATTTATCTCATGTATCAATTATTGTCTCCCATTATGATAGTGATTTTCTTATACCTGTTGGTGTGTTACGGTGTTATCCAGGAAATAAAATCTTTTAGGTGGGTTTTTTGGTTTTAGGAAGAAAGCCTCACAAAAATGACATACTTCCCTGTATATGATTAGGTGGAACTGATTTGCTATTGGTTACTCACACGTGGAAGACTATTAACATTATGATTTTAGCTCAAGTTTTTATTGTCTAATCACTGTGTGGTTGAAGCTGGTACTAAAGAAAAAAGAATCCCTTGCTTACCTCCCATGCTCTGATTTTGCTGCTCTCTCTTTTTTGATTTCTCCGATTTTCTTGTGTCTTTTCCCACACAGACCTCATTTCTTTCAGGAGCTTTTGCTACAAAAGAACCATGAATGTGAGCATCAGAAACGCTGTTATTGAAACTTCCATGTCATAACAGACAGAGAGGGGCAGGGAATGCAAAATACATGATTATTAAAGAGAGCAAAGTGCCAATGCATTTCACTGCTAAGCTCAATGTCAAATATGGAGGACTTTTATAACCACATAGTAAAGCTACAGTTGGAAAGGGTGTCTCACCATGGAGGACACTGGCTGTCAAACTTTACATCATAAAACCAATTTTCAATAAATGAACCTATCTCACCTTTTAATGGTCCTGTTACCAGTTATCATATCCTAATACCCTATTACTTTAGTGGAGAGACGGTGTTTCTAAATAGAGTCTATTAGTTTAGGCTTTGTGTAATTATGGTTATAATGGACAATAACCATTCCTGAAACTAACAGATTTGTCTACCTTGGTCTTCACAGTTCCAACTATGATCAACATTATTATCACCATCAAGCTTGAGTTGTAAGATTTTAACTGTGGAAATGTAAATGTTGTAGGACTGAGAACATGCTTTTTTCAATAGGTTATCCAAGTGTCGGGCACATAATGCCAGTTAATACCTGTTCAGTAAGATGAATGGATGAATAAATTCTTTTTTTTCTAGTCTCTCAAATATCAGATCCCCCAGATTCTGTCTCAGCCATTGCTTACCCGGTATTCCTCAGCGGTCCAGTCAGTGGAACAATGTCTGTGGGCCTCATGCTCCTTTGACTTACAGCACAGCAAACAGAGCAGGTCCTTCATAACCTCACAGAAGAAGTTCTTAGTTTTCATGTGTATCTCACACATCTGTTCTGCAGAGCTCGGTAAGTGGTAAGGTCTTGCCCGTCTGGCAAGGAATACCCGTGTCTTCAAAACAATGTTGGTTTTGAAGTTCGTTTGATGGGATGTTTCCCTGCAGACAGGGCAGGAAGGAGGATGATAGGCTTCCTCCCAGAAGATACAAAGACAAGGCATACAAAAGCTGTGCCCACAGCCTATAGTGACCGGGTCTATGAAGTACTTCACACATATGGAACAAGTGAATTCATTCTGGAAGATGTTGGAATCCATATTTCTGAGGAGACAAAGTAAAGAAAGAGGAAATTAGTTTGTCATAGGCCTTTTAAAGAAGTGAATATTCAAAACTTTAAAAAATACCAAGAGGTGGGGTGCCTGGGTGGCTCAATTGGTTAAGCACCTGACTTTGGCCCAGGTCATGATCTCACGGTTTGTCAGTGTGTCTGTGTTGGGCTCTGTGCCGACAGCTCGGAGCCTGGAGACTGTTTCAGATTCTGCATCTCCCTCTCTCTCTGCCCCTTACCCACTTGTGCTCTCTCTCTCAAAAATAAACATTAAAATTGTTTAAAAATATATTAAAAAATACCAAAAGGTGTAAAAATTATTTCCTTCCTTTATGTACGAATATCCTAGTATATATAGCAGGACACGCTATATATTGCATATAGCAGATGCTGAGGAAAAGACAGTCCTCATGATATAGGTCAGATTATTGATTTGTCAAACATGGCCTTCATACCAGAGTTCCAGCTCCCTTGTACAATTCCAAATTAGTTTATTTGTGTCTTCCCTTCTAAGTGGACCTGGGAATGTAGTACAGATCCAACCACCAGAACAGAGCATGGATCAGATTTCACCTAATGCAATCATCCTTATCCCTGTGCCAGGGATTGGTTATAGGCCGCTTGACCCTATTTAGCCAAAGCAATTTGAAGGAAATGCTATTATGAGGATTTTGTGAAGTGTTTATTGGCTCCTGAGAAGAACCATAAGGAAGAGTCAACTGTTTCATGCCCCTCTGGACAGTATTTGAATGTGATGCATGAGACTGTCATTTTGTTACCACAATGTCCACCTGCCTAGAGACCAAAGAATACACCCTGAGGATGACAGAAATGGAAGACCTGGGTGTGTGACAATGTCATCAAGGCATTAAAGTAAGCCACTATGGGACTGACCATAAATACATGTAAGAGGAATTAAGGAAATAGAAAAATCATTTTACAATCATGATGATCATCTTCTCTGGCAAGAATCATCAATGGATATGAAAAACACTGGTTAAAACAGGACTCATCCAAAGATTGTTTATTAATAAGTTCTTCACTTTATTGCCAGCTAATATATTAAATCATTTATTGAAATTTTTAAAAATACATTATTTTAGTTACCATAAATTGTGACTAAATATTTAATTATATGATTGTTGTTATCTTTCCCATCTGGAAGGACTTGAATGGGAGAGGCTGTACACGTGCAAGGCTGAAAACTCATTTTGGGTCCAAAATAAGTTGGAGTTAGACATGAGGTGAATTATTGCTTTACTGAACAGTTATAAAACCAGCTTTACAATACCTCTTTGAAAAATAGGTAGCAACGAGGCAGTAATGCTGACAGATATATTTATGAATAACAGTTTGTGGGAGGAGATTCATGGCTTTCTGCTTGATGAACACACGATTTTCAGTGACATGGAACATAAAGCCTTCTACCCAAACCCACCCATCTGGAGGAGATAGTTTGAGGGACAGGAAGAAAGTTTAAATTTGCCCTGTGTAGAATGGCCTAGAAACTGGCCAAGAATTCATTCCAATATAATCATTTCTAGACTGATAACATTAATGATAATATTAAAGTGATAATAGTAGAAGCTAATACTGTTTTCCAATTCTAGGCATGGATTAACTCCTCTTACCTGGATTACCTGTTTTAGTCTCCTTAATAATGGTAGCAACTTATTTTCTGTTTTTACCAACACTTTATAATGAATAAGCTTGACATAGTATGAGTAAAATAAGTTACTTGTCTAAAAGTCACACATTGAATAAATGACTGATCCCATACTCAAATATAGATCTTACTGATGGAAAAAAAGACAACTCTGAGCTGTAGTGTCCAAGATTAATATTAAATCAAGCAGCATTTACTGATCTCTGAATTGTAATGACAGTAATCTGTTTCATCATGATAAAAAAAAAAGACAATATTCTAGTACTCAGTGGGTCAGAGTTTGAATTTTTAATTGTTTTTTAATGTTTATCTTTTTTTGAGAGAGAGAGAGAGGAGAGAGAGAGAGAGAGAGAGAGAGAGAGAGAGAGCATGAGCAGGGAAGGGGCAGAGAGAGAGGAAGACACAGAATCTGAGTCAGGATCCAGGTTTTGACCTGTCAGCACAAAGTCCAATACAGGGCTCGAACTCACTATCTGTGAGATCATGAGCTAAGCCAAAGTTGGACACTCAACTGACTGAGCCACCCAGGTGCCCCAGAGTTTGAATTTTTTTAAAAAAGTTTATTCATTGAGAGAGAGAGAGAGAGAGAAAGAGAGAGAAAGAGAGAGAACAAGCAAGCACATGAGTGGGGGAAGGGCAGAAAGAGAGAGAATCCCAAGCAGGCTCAGTGCTGTTGTCTGCAAGCTCGATGCAGAGCCTCATATGAGACTCAATCCCAGGAACCATGAAATCATGACCCAAATCCAAATCAAGTGTCAGACGCTTAGCCTATTGAACCCCCAGGTACTCCAGAGAAATCTGTAACTGGCTGTAATTAACTAATTGTAAACACATCTGTACTTGGATCAGCCAGCAAGTCAGAGTTTGAAGGATGATATAACCAAGTTTAGTGTAGTTTAGTTTTTAGAAAAGGATGTTGTAATAATGAGAAACATGTAATGTGCCATGGAAACAGAGAAGAGAGAACCATCAGATAGTTCACCTTTGGTTATGCAACCATGCTACACGAATACACACTCAATGCATACAACCAAATCTACTTGTCTTAATGCCTAGCATATTTCTTAAGGAACATCCTCTCTCCCAGTCTACCTTATTTTTAATACAAAAAGCTGACCTATTTAACGTTAAATATTGTATACTTTGTTCAGATCTTATCTATTTCCCTTCATTTTGAAATTTTCAAACAAGTCAATTTATCTTCTCTATCAACCCTGATGCATTCAAGATTTTAATGACAAAAAAAAAAAAGAGACAGATTCCATATGTTTTCACTCCTATGTGGATCCTGAGAAACTTAACAGAAGACCATGGGGGAGGGGAAGGAAAAAAAAAATGGTTACAGAGGGAGGGAGCCAAAACATAAGAGACTCCTAAAAACTGAGAATAAACCGAGGGTTTATGGGGGATGGGAGGGAGGGGTGGGTGGGTGATGGGTATTGAGGAGGGCACCTGTTGGGATGAGCACTGGGTGTTGTATGGAAACCAATTTGACAATAAATTTCATTAAAAAAAAAAAAAGATGAAGAACTTAAAAAAAAAAAAGAGACTAATAATGTACTCAGACTCATTATCTAGAATTCCAGTTCTCTGTGAAATGATATATACCTCAGGTTAAAATAGTTGTCAGCAGCAAATAAAAATTGTGTTTTAAAGTACAGATTTTTCTTGGGGATGGGTCAGTTGGTTTAGTGTCAGACTCTCAATTTCGGGTCAGGTTTTTGCTCAGGTGAGTTTAAGCCCCGACAGTTTGGAGCATGCTTGGGATTCTCTCTCTCTCCCTTTCTCTCTGCCCTTCCCCTGCTCTTTTTCTCTCTGTCTCTCAAAATAAACTTAAAAAAAAAGAATTAAAAAAAAAATTTTTTTTAACGTTTATTGATTTTTGAGATGGAGAGAGACAGAGCATGAACGGGGGAGGGGCAGAGAGAGGGAGACACAGAATCCGAAACAGACTCCAGGCTCTGAGCTGTCAGCACAGAGCCCGACGCGGGGCTCGAACTCACGGACTGCGAGATCATGACCTGAGCCGAAGTCAGCTGCTCAACCGACTGAGCCACCCAAGCGCCCCCCCCCAAAAAAGAATGTTAAAATACAGATTTTTCTTGACTTATGATGGGGTTACATCTGAAAAAAATCTATTGTAATCTGAAAATATCATTAGTTGGAAACACATTTAATACACCTAACCAACTGAACATCATAGCTTAGCCTCACACACCTTAAAAGTGTTCAGAACACTTACATTTAAAACTGGGCCAAATCAGCTAATTCAAGGTCCATTTTAGAATAAAGTGTCAAAAAATCTGCTGTAATGTATTGAATACTGTACTGAAAGTGAGAAGCAGAATGGTTGTGTAGGTACAAATGATTTAAGTGCATCAGAGGTCAACCATCATGGTCGCTGGCTGACTGGGAACTGCGGCTGCCTCTGCTGCTGCTCAACATCACCAGAGAACCAGTAGGGCTCCATTGCTGGCCCGTGAAAAGACCAAAACACAAAATTTGAAGTTCAGGTTCTACTGGATGTGCAACACTTTCTCATCACTGTGAAGTCAAAAAATCATTAAGTCCCACCACCTTAAGTCAGGGACTGTCCATAAATTGATTTGGCTACACTCAAGCGTCCTTATTTTCATGTTCAGTGGATGCAGAGAACCTTCCCGTATCTAAACTTCCTCATAGGGAAAAGTAACAGTCTTCTCTAGGTCACTCCAATTCCTAAACACTTGACAATCTCCCTCTGAAAACTGAAATCCAAGTCTGAAGCTGAGAACATTAAGAGACATTTTAAACACTCAACCTCACAATGAATGTTTGTGGGATAATTCAGCACATTGAACCAACCGGCATTTTAAATAGACCTGAGATACAAACATGTACTTAAATATGCACGTACACAGAGCATAACATGAACAGCTTGGTAGGCACGGATAGATGACT